ACCCGCATTTTTCATGCCGAACCTTTTTGGGTCCCTCCGATCTTAAAATGATTTCGTACCAAAGATTTCGCGCGTGTGTCCAGGATAAGAACCATTTTAGGTTTTGTAGCTGCTGCGGAACTTAAAAAGGTTCGATAGTATAACTATTTTTTCTTAGAGTGTAGAAAGGTTCATTTCAAGCAAAAACCGCTTGGTCGGAATTCAGAGTATTGACTATACGGAGGTGTTCACATTCAAGAGGTGTTTAAAGTGGGAGATTTTACTGTAAATTTTTCCACTATTTTGTACTTTTTCTAGTAAGTTTTAGTACTTTTTCACACTTTCAGTAGTACTTATTAGTACTTTTTGCTCGAAAATTATGCATAAGTACTTAAAAGTGTTCATTTCTAAGTACTATTACCGGTTTAAAACCGACTTTTGAAAGCATTTAACAGTAGATTGTTCGTACATTTTGTTTTACATGGGATAGACATGTGTGCAACTGTGTATAGAGATAAGGAGCGTGGTGATACTAAGGTATCTGTCACAGTTTCTGAAGCTGCCATAGGAGTATCCACCGGCGTTCGAGAGCGGTGGGCCTTCAAATTGTTACTCCTATGCGTTAATTCTATATGAAAATAAATAAAGGATTCTAATCAAAACCCAAACCCAAACCCAAACCCAAACTCAATAGCCAAACCCAAACCCAAACTCATTATCCAAACCCAAACTTACCAAACCCAAACGGTTTGGGTTCGGGTCATGCCTAGTGATTGTTGAGAACTGAAGGGTACGCCTGGATACAATGCTTGAGGTCGAAAGGTATCGCCAATAATAGCAATTCAGAAGGTGTTGCTTGCCCCTCCCCCCCAATAGTAGGACTGGATGACCTAAGGGTTACCCTATAGTATAACTTTATGGCAGATGGATACTCCTTAACAAGCAGGACTCTAGGACCGAAGGGTATCAGTATAGTAGAACTTGAGGATCTCACGTGGCACCCTATAGTGGGACTTCAGTACCGATGGGTATCCCTGAACATTGAAACTGAATGATCTATGGGTACCCTGAATAGTAGGCCTTGAGGACCGAAGTGTGCCCCCCTATAGTAAGCCTTGAGGACCCAAGGGTACCCCCCTATATTAGGCCTGGAGGGCCCAAGGGTACCCCCCCCCCCCTATAGTAGGCCTTGAGGACCCTAGGGTACCCCCTATAGTAGGCCTTGACGACGCAACGGCACCCCCTATAGTAGACCTTGAAGACCCAAGGGTACCCTCCAATAGTAGGCTTTGAGGAGCCACGTGTACCCCCGTACAGTAGACCTTGAGGACCGAAGAGTGCCCCCCTATAGTAGGCCTTGAGGACCCAAGGGTGCCCCACTATGCTAGGCCTTGAGGGCCCAAGGGTACCCTCCTATAGTTGGCTTTGAGGACCCAAGGGTACCCCCATATAGTGGCCGTGGAGGTCCCAAGGGTACCTCCCTATAGTAGGCCTTGAGGGCCCAAGGCTACCCTCCTATAGTAGACCTTGAGGACTCAAGTGTACCGCCCTATAGTAGGCCTTGAGGACGCAAGGTTACCCCCTATAGTAGGCCTTGAGAACCCAAGAGTACCCCCCCCCCCATATAGTAGCCCAGGACAAGTTGGTGGCGTCGGATCTTGTCGGACGGGGGCAAATCCCGGTCGGTTTCTGTCGGAAACTACCAAAATCTTTGCGGCCGGATTCCGACCTCCGGATCCGACAGAACCCGTGCCGGATTCATCCAGATTTTTCCAGATTTTGCCGGATTTTGTCGGATTCCGACAAAATCCGACGATATCCGGACCGGAATCCGGCTGCAAGGATTGCTTGTCCTGGGTTCATGAAAACATAAAAACATGTAGTTTTTCCTCCGTGTTCATGTTGCAAGTATGCATTGATGAATTAACTTTAGTATATATAACTTTCCATGAGGTAATATCACTGTATCAAAAATTATTTAGACACTAGCAAAGAAGAAAATAAGCGGGCGGTATAAAAAAAAAACAAATCACTTTGTTTGTTCATCTATTTTGATCATTCAAGAGAATTCACATCCGCTGAAGCACATAACATCAGATAGTTTTCTGCGTGAGTTAATTATAGCTCATTGAAATTGGTCGATGGGAACCATAACGTGCAATAAAATATATGTCAAATGAAGACGATAGTGAAATTCTATGACAAGATAAGCAATTCAAAGAAATGAAACGAAATTAGGTGCAGAACATATCTTTGAGTAAAAATGTCAGTTTCCTATTTCATTCCTGTTCTAAAAAACCTGAAACATAGTCCAGTTTCCATTCTCAGAAATCCAGAGCACACACCAAATGATCACAAAAAGGAAGTAGAACATAAATAAAACATTTCAGTCTATCCGAAAATGCGTTAAAATGCGTGTTGAAGTGCATTCATGATTCTTAGGAACCTTGACATCTCGGGGGCTACTGAGACTTACTTTTTCGGGATCTATTTTTTCTACGGGATTTATTTATTTACTCAGGATTGATTAATTATGGTTATATTTTAGCGCATCCACGTCCGCATCACACCCATACCCCTACGCACACCCTTTGCTAGCTATTCAAAATTGAACAAACTTTAAAAAGTGTACTTTATAAAGTACGCTGGTCCTCAAAGAGTTAACCTGCTCGATCGAGATTAACTTATATGTCTCGTTTAATAAATGTTTTGTAGAGGCAAGAGTTTGATAGATATCTATCCAAGCTGATTAAAAAAATCCGTCTGTTGTAATTATATTCCATTTTTCTGAGAATTGTAGTAGAGAAAAACAGCACTTTTGATATGACTTTTATAAAATACATAGCTCGTTCAAAGTAGACAGATTTGAATTAAAAATTTACTGTATATTAAATCATGTCATCAAGGAATCTAAAAAAAATTGATTGTGTAAACTCTAGGAGATAATCTGTTTATACCAATTCTGAAATAGTGGAAGAGAATAGCGATCATTGAAAGAGAGAATTGACTATTTGAAGACAAGCGAATGTATCGCATGCGTGAAATTAGTCTTATTCAAAGTCGTAACCCTCATCATACGAGCAATTTTTCCATATATTTCTGTACTAGAATTCCAATATAATTGATTTCATTTTAGGTATAAAATGTCTCAGAGAATATCATTCTATTTTCATGTTGCAGTTGTTTATCTACTATTTGCATGCAACACAAGGACCAAAATAATATATCCTCAATCGCTTTTTCTAGTGACAGTGACCATTTTCGATTATTTTTCTTTTTTTTTCATTCTTTCTTTTCTCATGAATTTGTTTATGCCCTATTCCTTTACTAATTATGCTTATATTTTTTCTGCTGACATGAAATCTTTTGCTTACAATGCTGCAAAAATAATACATCATAATCAAACGAAATGCATATGATGTTATTATATCTCTGTGTTGATTCGTTAGCTACATGATGGTGATGTGTCTGTGTTTCGTTCTTTCATTTCAAATATTGTAACACTAGCTATACACCGTGACTAATGGGAACTAACTCATGCGTTCGCAATCAAGTATATTTTTTTCTATGAAAAAAACAAAAAAAACCTTCATCAAAAGATGCAAACACATGTACAGGGTTGGAAATAATATTTTGCCCGGGATGTAACGCAATAATTTGAAATAGGGTATGTAATGAATTGTATATCAAATGAAAGCCCGTCAAAAATGGATTTATTAATGCTAAAAAATTTGGATTAGGCGAACTTTCGTATATTGAACTGTTAAAATTTGTAGTATTTTACCGACTACAAGTATGAGAAAAATTTTTCATGAGATAAACTTTGAACTAAATGTAAGGCAAAATTGTTTATTTTTTCATCATTTTATGAATACAATGAATAATTAGTATGACGATCATTTGCATTCTTTACTTCACGAAGTCGAGATGGATATGAGCATAGAATAGTTTCAAATAGCTCGGTATCTGGGTGTGGGTGTGGGTGTGGGTTAAAGATATTAACACCCACACCTCACACCCACAACCACAGCCAAAATATAACCTTGAATTTTGATTAAATTCTAATGTACTTCGTAGCAGTTATCTACTCAATTCTCTCTTCATATATTCATAATATTGCTTCGAAATGTCCACCAAGAATATCACTGATTGAACGATTATTGTTCTAGTAAATTCCAGTTACTTGAATGCTCACTTGTGTTCTCTGTTCAAGGATAAACATCGCATATATGTGACCAGTTATTATCGAAAGTTGTTCAAAAAACAACCCCCTGCCTTGGATTTCTGGATCAGAGATGGGCGAGTCATTTGTTCAAGTCATTTCAAAAAATGTTCATACCGTTTCTCATTGGAAAAGAATGTCTTTAATTTCAATTTGGCTCAATTGAGAAATGTTCAGGCTACTCAATGATATATTATGGTCAAAGATTTTCTTCACCAAAAGTATCGTAATATCTTTAAAACACCTTGACTTGATGAAAATGACTTGACTTAATCAGGTCAAGTCAAACCATGGTGTTTTAAAAGTATTACAGCTCTTCTCATGGAGAAAAACTTTGACCATAATATATCATTTTGTAGCCTGAACATTTCTGAACTTGGGCACATTGAAATTAGAGACATGCTCTTCAAATGAGAAAAGATATGAAGATTTTTCGAAATGACTTGAAAAAATGACTTGCCCATCTCTGTTCTGGATCGACAATAATACAATTTTATTAGGGATGAACGTACAGGAAATCAAATATCATGCCGTATTTATTATATATAGAAAAAGAAAAGCCATTCATTCTTAAAAATCAAAAGAGATAATCATTGAAGGACTGGATTTAAATGAAATGTATTATTGAGCAAACGATGCCTGTTTCATCATTTTCAAGAGCATTTGGTTGCAAGCGGCCGCATACGGATTGGTAAGAAGAACTTGTTGTTTAGCAAATGGTGAACCTAGTTCAGCAGCTTGTTTGAAATCTTCAAGTGATGCTTCATTTTTGTCTACGTGAAATAAAAACTACAATGACAGAAAGAGAAATGATCTATTTCACCTAAAAATCGGTTGAGAATGCCACGCTGAGTAAGTGCAAGGCACAGGACTTTTCGATAATTGCTATTACCAGTAGCCAGTTCAATAGCAGTGTTCAGGTCTATGTTAGCTTCTGAAAAAACAAACTAGAAAGGGAGAAAAAAAGGAAGAACAAAGTTACCGTTCGTGCGATTTTGCAGCTGATAAGCTTGGGCTCGATTGTTATACGGCGATGGTTGTTGCGGATTGAGTTCAATTGCTCGAGTGAAACATTCTATAGCTTCTGGAAGACGATTCTGTTCAGCTAGTCGAACTCCTTGAACAAGCAGACGCACACGAATCAGATAAGCCATATTCAATGAACATCTCAAGCTTACCTTCTTCTTCAAATCGTTTGATTTCTAGTGCTTGTTCTGAACGACAAATATACCGAAAAAATACAATGTTATGATGAATGTAAAAAATAAGCTCTTACTCTTATTTTGTGCTGATACCAATGTGTCCAATTGAAGAAAGCTGTCAAAATCAAGCGGATAGTTTGGATTAAAAATAGCATTGATAACAACCTTATCATGGTCTGTAATTGGCGTCATATTATTTTTGAAGTTCTATCTGAAAGACAAGCACGATTGAAAGGGTAGATATAGGACTTCACTGAGATATAGGAAAGTACGAAACATATCATGAACAAATATGAATTCAGTAAAGAGAATTGGCGACTGACTAAATAGAGCGACAGAAAGTGTTGATAGAAAATGAAAAGCTATACTTTTGCAGCATTGTATTTAGGCTCCCAAATGATGGTTGTCACTATTGTTTTCTATGTATAAGGTCTCCGTGATTCAACATGCTCTAACTACTTGAAGTCAATATACTAAATGAAAACAGTTTCAAATCAATCGAAATAGATGAATATATGATCGCTTCTTATTGCTTTACCAAACCTTCGACATCAATGAACGCTGTTGGTGGATCAAAACTAGTGTTTATATCGTAAAAAGTGATAGAAGTTATGATCACTTGTCACCGATAGATCAATCGATACGATTCGCTATAAAGTCAATGACTGCCACCAGTAGAAACAAGAAAAAAAGCTGTTAGCGCAATCCCTTGCGGGATTAAAAATGTGAAACACGATGGATCTGTTGTTACTAATTAAATGGAAATCGTTTTGTTCTATTTCTTTGCAATACATTTGTAGCTAACCGTTTATCTGATGCTTTAGAAGTACAGTTTCGCTGTCACGGTCTGTGATGGGTCTAAAGCCTGTCGGTCACGGTCTGTGATGGGTCCAGATCCTGTCTGTCACGGTCTGTGATGGGTCTAAAGCCTGTCTGTCACGGTCTGTGATGGGTCCAGATGCTGTCTGTCACGGTCTGTGATGGGTCCAGGCCCTGCCTGTCACGGTCTGTGATGGGTCTAGATCCTGTCTGTCACGGTCTGTGATGGGTCCAAAGCCTGTCTGTCACGGTCTGTGATGGGTCTAAAGC